AAAAAACAATATTCGTGCTGATGATGATAGCATTTTAAGAAGTGATAATTCTTCTTGGTTTCTAAGTTTCCTTGTCATTCTTGTTGCTCGCCATCTGGTCAGCATGGACGTTGTGATGGAACATCTCTGTGAGAGAAATCTGAACCGGCTGTGGGAAAAAATAAACACTCATAAACAACTAGAGCCAAGAGAGTTAATTGAGTGTAAAAATTTTGCTGTTCTTCTGAGGTTAATGCTCATCCAAGAGGGTGGAGACAATCTTTACTTCGAAACACCTCTCAGCACCACGGTAAGGGAGTTAGTCTATCTTTTTCAAATTTCCGAAAATAGTTCTCTCAATTATTAATTGGGTTTTTCAGGAAGTTCAAGTCCTTCAATATAACTGCGAAATTCTATCACGGAATAAAGACTTTACTGATGTAATAGCTAATATCTTCCAAAAGCTTACTCTCATTGAATGCTCGATCAACCCTGGTGATCCGCTAGTAGTGTTTATTCAACAATTAAGGATTGATTTTTCTAAGGTCTATTGGTTCAAACAATTGTGTGCAGTTGACGTCGAAAACGTATATCGTCGTTTTGTCAAAGTTTCTAAGAAGTCCATAAAGAGTAAGGAGGTGGAGAAACGCATGATTGAAATGATACAAACATCTTTATCTAGTTGTCTAGGTAAATACACGTAAATTACATTGTTCTGTATATGTTATGTATCAAAGCTTTTAAAAATTATCTTGTTTCTAAATAGAAGGTGACGAAAGCACAAGATCGATAGCATCTTACACATCATACCTAGAGAACATCTTTTCTAAAGTCAATTTGTGGAACATTCGGAAATGTCGGATCGAATTTTGGCTTTTTATGGATCAGATTATGCTAATTGGGTCAAATAGACATCGTTCTCGACCTTCACCAACTCGTTCGGCTATTAAAGATGAGGATGGAGACGTATTAATGAATTTGGTCGATCAACAAATAAATGATGACTTGAAAACTGTAATAAT